GGTGTGTTCAGGACAGATTACAGCTGCAGGTGAAGACACCAGGTGTGTTCAGGACAGATTACAGCTGCAGGTGAAGTGGATTTAACCTGAGTAAAGACTTCAGGCTGATATGTTTTTTACAACTTTAACGTCCTGAACTTTCTGATCCGGTTTAATCTGAGCCTCATCAGAAGGGTTCTGAAATTATTGTTGGCCCATCGTATAATCCGGTGTCTCTCAGGTTCTGATGGATTTTATCTTAAACAGTCTGAAAAGTTAAACTGCGTGTCAGGCAAACATTAGCTGCTAACAGCTAAAACAATAAACACATTTAACCTGACGGCTTAGAGGAGGCCGCTAAATAATTAATTAAAAGCTTAAATGAAATGAAATATGAAAAACGCAGCTGTGCTGTTTAGAAAATAATAATAACTGATTTATTTTCATGTGAGTCGAACTCTGAAGACAGTTAGCAGCAGTTAGCCTTCAGGCTAGGTTAGCCGTTAGCGTTGTGCTAAGTTCACAACAATTCGTTTTGAACCACGAGCAGACGCTTCAAAGTCCAATAAACATACCTCAGTTTTGTCCTTATTTTGTGAGAAATACTCTGGGTGCGGTGAATCATCGACCGTCTTTCAAATCTGTTGAATATACTTTGATTTAAATCGTCTCTATTGTGTTTTCTTCTTCCTTTAAATCGACATGATGGGCGCCTCTTCTTCTTCGCTGTAAATTTCTACTGTTTGATCATAACGCTGCTGCCACCTGCTGGAGGACCGGGGGACTGCAGCTGCTGGAGGACCGGGGGACTGCAGCTAGGTACATCTGTGGCTCATCATAATTTCCCTGTTGTAGGAGGTGGGCGTTCATCAAGGATCAGCTCTGAGCCCCTTCTTGTTTGTTCTGGTGATGGACCGACTAACAGATGAGGTCAGGCAGGAATCCCCGTGGACTATGATGTTTGCAGATGACATTGTGATCTGTGGTGAGAACAGGGAGCAGGTGGAAGAGAACTTGGAGAGGTGGAGGTATGCACTTGAAAGAAGAGGAATGAAAGTCAGCCGTAGTAAGACAGAGTCCATGTGTGAATGAGAGGGAGGAGGTGGAACAGTGAGGCTACAAGGAGCAGAGGTCACAAAGGTGCAGGACTTCAAGGACTTGGGGTCCACTGTCCAGGAACATGGGGAGTGTGGTGAAGAGGAGAAGAAGAGAGTCCAGGCAGGATGGAGTGATGGAGAAAAGTTTGAGGAGTGATTTGTGATAAAAGGGTGTCAGCAAAGGTCAAAGGAAAAGTTTACAAGACAGTGGTGAGACCAGCTCTGTTGTATGGTCTGGAGACAGAGACATGGACAAAAAGACAGGAGACAGAACTGGAAGTGTCAGAAATGAAGATGTTGAGGTTCTCCTTAGGAGAGACAAGGATGGAGAAGATCAGGAATGAGATCATCAGAGGTACAGCACAGGTTGAACACCTGGGAGATAAAGTTAGAGAGGACACACTGAGATGGTTTGGACATGTCCAGAGGAGGGACAGTGGTTTGGACATGTCCAGAGGAGGGATAGTGGTTTGGACATGTCCAGAGGAGGGACAGTGGTTTGGACATGTCCAGAGGAGGGACAGTGGGTATATTGGTAGAAGGATGTTAGAAATGCAGCTGCAGGAAAAAGACAAAAAGGAGACATATGGATGCAGTTAGAGAGGACATGGAGGTAGTTGGAGTGAGGACAGAGTGAGATGGAGGATGATGACTCACTGTGGAGACACCTGAACAGGGAACAGCCAAAAGAAGAAGTTGCTACAACTCTGTTCATCTCCTAACAAGGTTGAGTCAGGTCCTCTGGACGTCGTTGAAACGTTTCAAACACTTCTTCTTCTTCTTCTTCTTCTTCTTCTTCTTCTTCTTCTTCTTCTTCTTCTTCAGTCTGATTTGATCCTTTGGATAAATGACAAAACGTTTGAAAACATCTAGAGGCCCTGACTCAACCTTGTCAGATTTATCTAACACGGTTTTACTAGACGAGTCTGAATAAATGAGATTCTGTCACAAAAATTCAAATGAGTCAGAAAAGCTTGATCCATTGTCAGTTTTAGATTTAATCCAGGCTTCGCATGGCAAATACAGAGAATTAACTTACAATAAGTTACACTCTGCTGAAAACAGCAGGTAAAGGCCTCTTTAACAACACACGGTAAAACAAGATAAACTGGTAATAAATTTGGGTTTTAATCCAAACATTAAGAACGAGAAGACGCTCCAGTTCAGCTGTCGGTTCAAGGCACAAAAACTGATTTATTGACCCGTCAGCAGGTGCTTCTGTTAGAAACCCCTGCTTCACCTCTCTATGACCATTCAGGACCACAGGAAGCTGCTTCGTTAAGGTTTAAAGTGCACTTAAGTGTGTTTACATGATTCCCCCCGGTTTCTGTCTTCAGCCAACATTGCTTTGAGCACACCTTCTGATTTTTATCAACGAAACGGAGGAACCAGCTGACGTTCGGCGCTAAGCCTCTCCTGGTGAGGGCAGTTTAGCGTCCTCAAGCTGGAAGATCTCCCGGATCCGAGTCACGCAGACGTCCGAGGCGTGCTGCGTCTCCTTGCAGATCTGCGACAGGCTTAGGAAGCCGTGAGGAAGATCATCCACCACTGTCAGGCTCACCGGCTGGCCCATCGCCCGCAGCTTTTTGGCAAATGTCACGGAGTCGTCCAGCAGAGCGTCGAGAGCCGAGGCCTGCGACGAAACAAGTTGTTGTTCCAAAAATCGTGTTAGTTACATGTTTAAAACATGTTAGTTACATGTTTAAAGCACGTTGGTTACACGTTTAAAGCATGTTGGTTACATGTTTAAAGCATGTTAGTTACATGATTAAAACATTATAGTAACATGTTTAAACAAAGTGTTAAAAAACGTTAAATGTTTACAGCATGTTAGTTACATGTTTAAAGCATGTTAATTACATATTTAAAGCATGTTAGTTACATGTTTAAAGTGTGTTAATTACATGTTTAAAACATGTTAGTTACATGTTTAAATGTTAGTTACATGATTAAAACATGTTACATGTTTATAGCATGTTAGTTACACGTATAAACTGTTAGATACATGATTAAAATGTTAGTTACATGTTTAAAGCATGTTAATTTCATGTTTAAAGCATGTTAGTTACATGTTTAAAGCATGTTAATTACATGTTTAAAGCATGTTAGTTACATGATTAAAACGTTATAGTAACATGTTTAAACAAAGTGCTAAAAAACGTTAAATGTTTACAGCATGTTAGTTACATGTTTAAAGCATGTTAATTACATATTTAAAGCATGTTAGTTACATGTTTAAAGTGTGTTAATTGCATGTTTAAAACATGTTAGTTACATTTTTAAAATGTTAAGTTACATGATTAAAACATGTTACATGTTTATAGCATGTTAGTTACACGTTTAAATGTTAGCTGAAATGTTAGTTACATGATTAAAACATGTTACATGTTTATAGCATGTTAGTTACACGTATAAACTGTTAGATACATGATTAAAATGTTAGTTACATGTTTAAAGCATGTTAGTTACACGTTTAAATGTTAGTTGAAATTTTAGTTACATGATTAAAACATGTTACATGTTTATAGCGTGTTAGTTACATGTATAAACACAGTGTTGGATACATGATTAAAATGGTAGTTACATGTTTAAATGTAAACAGGCTGCAGTCTTTTTATAGCTGAGACAAATGTTGATCAAATGAGCTCTGTTTTAAATATCCCTTATCAGCCGAAAGGAGCAACACTTGGCTACAACAATTTTTCAGACTTTTTCTGCAACAATTAAAATCTCCAAACGAACAGAAGACACTTGAATTTTGTTCAGACCCATAAAATTAAAAACCGAGCGATTCTTGGAGGAAGGCAATTTCCTTCTTGTGACGGAGCCATTTGGGTCAAACCTTACAAAGAACGTTGCACACGGTCCGGTGTTACATCATGAGAAGTCTCAGTTAGAGGACGGGTCAGGGACGACTCTCAGTTACTACCACTCCAAATGTTAGCTCAATATCTGCAAATCTGACTGAATTATAGGTGCTGATGCTACTAAAGACATTTAGCTGTGGCAGCTTCTTGAATTGGGTCAACTCCAAAGTTTCATCAGCTCTAGTTGAACATCTCAGGATTACTGATTGGATTATGTTTTTATTCAACTCTCTTTCTACACGTTGGTCTCATTGAGCCTCGAGGACTCATTTACAAGAGAGACCTGATGTCAACAAAGAATGATGACATCAATGGACAACAATGAGATATTTTGCTAACGCAGACATGTTTCCTTACCACCAGGTGCACAGGCGGCAGGCCTCTCAGCAGGCCAGGTGGTGCGAGCAGCGGCGACACAAACGGGTTTCTGAAGACGGGACAGGAAGTGGGCTGAACCAACGCCGGACACTCAGAGCGCAGCGGCTCAAAGCCGTCCTGGTACTGGATGAGTTCTGCAGAGTTCTGTTGGACGGTACCATTAGCAGAAATCCTCCGGAACGCCTTCTCGCTCTGTGACTGAGAACCAGCAGAAGCTCGAGTCGGGTCCAGAAAGGACTGGATCCAGTTGGAGGCGCCCTGCGTGAGGTCACTGAGCAGCATGGCCGTGTCCCGACCCAGAGCACTCAGGCTGCCCCGACGTTCTGCAGGCTGCACCGTCTGGAAGTCAAAACCTGAGGAGAACAGGAGAACCCAGTTAGAACATCAGTCACCAACATGGAGAACCTTAGAACACAGTTAGAACATCAGTCACTAACATGGAGAACCTTAGAACACAGTAAGAACATCAGTCACTAACATGGAGAACCTTAGAACACAGTAAGAACGTCAGTCACCAACATGGAGAACCTTAGAACACAGTAAGAACGTCAGTCACTAACATGGAGAACCTTAGAACACAGTAAGAACATCAGTCACTAACATGGAGAACCTTAGAACACAGTAAGAACGTCAGTCACTAACATGGAGAACCTTAGAACACAGTAAGAACGTCAGCCACCAACATGGAGAACCTTAGAACACAGTAAGAACATCAGTCACTAACATGGAGAACCTTAGAACACAGTAAGAACGTCAGCCACTGTCCGGCTGAACAAGTCCAGGTAGACGTTCTTACTAGAACACGAGCTGCCAGTTAAACATTTTCATCTCTTTCCTCCCACATGATCCAGTTTATACATAAAACCTTCTGATGTTCTGTTTGTTGTTCCACCGGAATGTTCCGTCAAGGTCAATTAAGCATGAAGCGCACACACACACACACACACACACACACACACACACACACCTGCGTAGGCATTCAGGCACTTTGCGAGGACGCCTAAAGGCAAAAGCGGGTCGATCAGTGTGAGCAGGCGGGAGGGCGAGGCGTCGGTGGTGAGCAAGGTGGCGGGGTACGCTGCCACGATGCCGTCGGGGACACGGATCCCGGAGGTCAGGGCCCTCATGGAGACGGTGATGCAAAGGTTCCCTCCGGCGCTGTCCCCTGCCAGACAAACCCGCTCCGCTGTAGAACCTGAGAGGAACATGCTGGAGATCAACTGATCGTTTTAAATTCGGGACTTGTACACTCAAAGCTCTTTACCCGTTCTCTACTAGATCTGTTCAAAGAATAATCAGAGCTTCATCACATTCATGCACTGAGGGACACACATCGGGGACAATGAGGGGTTCAGTGTCTTGCTCAGGGACACTTCAGCATGTGACTGCTGGTGGAATCGAACCCCCAACTCTTGCATTGAAGGACGACTGCTCTAACCACTCAGCCACAGCCGCCTCAAATCTTTGGAATATTATAAAATGATAATCAAATATGGAAGAATCAAAATAATATAATAATAATTTTGTCCAAATATTGCAACAGAAACAATGATCTGATCTGGAGGTGTCCAAAGATGGTGTCGTCAGAAGAACCCAGACGAGTTCTGCTGAGAACGATCGCAGATCTCACGGTTTCTTCTCCACTCACTTGGTGTAAAATTAGGTCCTCTTTTATCTGAAAGGTCTTATTGTTCTTTTCACGCTGAAAGAACAATAAGACCTTTCAGAGAACAGACTCACTCTGACCCTCAGAATTTACAGAACCAGAACTGGAGCAAAAGCCTCCAGGTTCCAGATTCAGTTTTATTTTCATACTTTGAACGGATCTCCAACTACATGCACATTTTGGTCTTAATTTGTTGTTCTCTATTCTACTAAAAACTTGTTGTTCTCCATTCTACTAAAAACTTGTTCTCCATTCTACTAAGAACTTGTTGTTAACACATGAAAGTCCTAATTACTTAAAAAAACAATACATGTATGTTTGTCACCTAAGGACGTCAACACTTTTTACCGGAACAATGCACTCTGGTGCAATGAAGTACAACGGTTGTAGTGGAAGCGATGTCATAAACTAGCTCTGGAGCTAACAATATAAACATCTCGACCTTTGACCCCTCGAAGTGTCTTTAAGAACCTGCTGGACTCTTGGCAGGGACCAATGCAGACATTCAATTCAAATTCAATTCAAAAATACTTTATTGATCCCAGAGGGAAATGAAGTGTGGTTGTAGCTCATCATCTTGGTGTTCCTGTTTTTAGTTTTCTACATTCACCTTATAATCCAGCTGTTTTTTGTTACTCTTTTTGCATCTTATTTGTAAAAAAAATAAAATCCGTATGTCTTTTATAACTGTCCACTGTTGTCATGATTCTTTGTTAAATCAGGTCTCTCTTGTAAATGAGTCCTGGAGGCTCGATGGGATTTACCTGTTCAATATAAACATTTGTTGCTATGGCGGTGCACAGAAGTGCAGTGGCTTCTCATGCTCCCGGGATTACGCCTTATTTTAATTATTTATTGTAATTGTTTTAATTTCTATGAGGCTGTTTGAGGCACTAGTTCAGAGCTGAATTCACGGCTCATGTACAGCTCAACCCGAGTGAAGGCCACCAGAGACGGTTGGGTCATCGATACATCACCGAGGCTGACGGCTGCACTCTCCTGACGACAACAGAACGGCGCAGCAAAGTGCGAGGACCAACGGTCAAGAGGAAACGATGTGCCTGGGAACACAAGAGGGGGAAGCGGGCGGGCGTGTTGGCCCAACCAAAGGATAGAAGGTCGCCGATTCTGTCCACTCACTGGACGACACAACGGACTTGTTGCATCTGAGGATGAGTGTTTCTACAGAGATGAAGAACTGTGCTGTTCTTTGCCTGACGGAAATCTCGCTGAACAACAACGTGCTGAACTCGGTCTTCCAGATCAACGGTCTTCAGTTATTCTGAGCGGACCATCGGTCGGGTTAAACACGGGGGGAGGACTCCGTGAGTGAAGATCAGTGAACGAACTGTGGACTGGTAACCAGCTGCTGCTCTGAGGCGAAATAACTTATTACTGTGTGAAATGTACCATCTGCCACGGGACGTACTGCAGTGTTCGTCACCGTTGTTTACATCCTGCCAGGTGCTAATGCTAACGAAGCATCAAAGGAGCTGTATGACACCATTAGCTCGCTGCAGATCAAGCACCCGGAGGCGTTTCACGTGGTTGCGAGGGACTTTAGCCACATGAAACCGACGGACACTCTGCCCAGTTGTTACCAGCATGTCATCCTTCCTACATGGGGAGACAACACTCTGGACTGTGTGTACACTAACATTTGGGGTGCGTACAGAGCTCTTCCTCTCCACCACATCTCAATCCTGCTGGCCCCAGCGTACTGTCCGCTGATCAGACGGATTAGGCCAACAAAGAACCAACAAAGAGACCGGCACTGTGCGGCCCAGGGATGTAGACTCTGTGCTCCAGGACTGTTTTCAGTGCACAGGTTGGCAGGTCTTTTTTCATCCAACCTTTATTTGAACAGGTAAATCCCATCGAGCCTCGAGGACTCATTTACAGGAGAGACCTGATTTAACAAAGAGTGATGACAACAATGGACAACAACAACAACAATGGACAGTTATAAAAGAGGTATACAGACTTTTTTTTTTTTACAAATTAAAATAAGATGGCAAAAAAAAAGTATCAAAAGCAGCTAGATTCTAAGGCGAATGTAGAAAACTAAAAACAGGAACATGTCTGCATTGGACCCTGCCAGGAGTCCAACAGATTCTTAATGACACTTAGAAAGGTCAAGGTTGAGAGCTTCAGATCTTTTTGTAAGATATTCCAGGAAACAGGAGTGGAGTAGGAGAAGGCCCTTTTGTCTAGTTCAGTCCTCACTGAGGGAACACTGCAGGTAATGATGTCCTGAGAGCGCACGCTGTAGCTGCACTCAGGTCTTCAGAGAGGCGGCTACGTATGAGGGAGAGGTGGACCTGGAGGAATACATCTTCTCTGTCCTTGGCTTCATCTCCAAGTGTGCTGATGATGTCATCACCTCCAGAACAGTAACCTATTATCCGAATCAGAAACCCTGGCTGAACGCTGAGGCGAGAGCTCTGCTGAAAGTAAGATTCAAACGTAGGTCTTTTCGGATGTTTTTTCAGAAGCTACACCGGATGTCTTCATTTTCAACTTTAATAACATGATGTTTCACATCATTGTTTAAATCACATAACTTGAATTACATAATATCCAGATAGCTTCATTTAGCTCCAATAGCCTCATCACATCTCCCACACTAACAGAAGTACTGTTTATTATCACTACTGTCATTGCTCAGCACATTTAATATGTTATAGTGCAGCGCGACGCGTGAAACATCCGCCTGCCTCGACAGGCTCCTTCAACAAACAGCGATATTAGAACTGTTGCCAGCAGGTGTGTCTGAAGGACACAGGTGAGCACTGACCCAGCAGGTGACAGTTGTTCAGGGCCCAGCAGTAGGCATAGAAACATTCCTCCAGAGCTCGTGGAAAAGGAGCTTCAGGGGACAGGGAGTAGTCCACGGACAGAACCGGGACACCCAGCTCCTTCGACCAGTTACGGAGATAGTTCTGAAGATGAAAGATGTGCGATCGGGTGAAAATAAAAGTTATTTAGTTGATTTATTAGAAGATGGGAGAAGGCTGGTGTTCTGTACCTCGTGGGATCGAGATGTTTGGGCCACAAAGCCCCCTCCATGGAAGTGGATGAGCAGCCAGGGGGAGCGAGGCAGCTTCTGGACCCAGGGCAGACGGGACCCTGGACCCGGGTCGTTTCGAGACAACGTCAGCAGTTCTTCACTGTCCTGAAACATGAGAGGAGAAATACGTCCTGCACACTGTTAGCTACCTGCTAACACTACAACACCGTTAGCATCCTGCATGTGGCTGCACACAGGTGCAGCAGGTGCTAAATCATTTGAAATAATTCATTTGAAATAAAAATTTCATGCCGATCGTGCGGCTCATCCATCAATCAGCCAAACGTGTGTCGCATCCACTCTTATTTTGAAAAACCACGATAGAGCGAGTCCGTGATAAACGAACCACAAAGAGAGACTACTGTACTTCAAGCTAGCCATTTAATACATTTAGCTTTTAGCTAGGCGTTTGCTACTTTTAGTTTTGATCTTCCACTCTGGTATTTTTAGCTTCTTGACAAACTTTGATACATTTAGCTTGTCTTTGGCTACTTTTAGTTTATAGTTAGCAGTTTACTGCTTTTAACTTTTTGCTACTTTAGCTTATGGCTAGCCTTTTTTAACATTTAACTTACCTTTTGTCACTTTTAGCTAACATTTTGCATCTGAACTCGTATTTTGCCACGTTTGCGTTTAACCAGATTTTTTAGTTCTTTTAGCCAGTTTAGCTACTTTTAGCTTGAAGCCTACTTTGTTTAGCTTTTAGCTAATGTTCTGCCTTTCTCAGCTTTACCCGCTCAGTTTCAGCTTCTTCAGCAGGTAATGTTGAAATAATTCTTTGAAAGATCTGTAGTTTTAACTTCACCGTGTTTTAGTCTGGTTCTGATTCTGTTCACTTCCTGTGTCGGACTTCTGGACCCTCACCTGACCCTCTCGAAGCTCGTAGGAGAGCAGTCTCATGTGGACCGGCCCGGGGCCCCAGTGGGCGATGGGCGGTGACACGGTGGTCAGCAGGCTGGGGTCGGAGGCCAGCGGGAGGCGCAGAGCGACCGGCGGCACGGTCAGCGTGAAGTTCACCTGCACCGGGTTGGAGGCGATCCGGCTGAAGCCCTGGACATAAAAGCACCAAAGGAGTGAACACTTCCCAGCGAGCAGAACCGCAGGTGACGCAGCGACACGAGGAGCGAGTGGCCCCGCCTACTGAGAGAATGTTGGACTCTGTGACGTTCCAGAAGGACTTCCAGAACTGCATGTCCAGGTTCTGAGTGATGCGCTCGAACTCGGCTCCTCGCAGCTCCGGATCGATGACGTACTTCCCGGAGGTGAGGAGAGAAAGGGCGGCCGTTCCTGCAGGAAGAGGAAGAGGACGATGAAGATGAAGTCGTGTGAAACCTTCAGGGACGGCAGGAGGAAGAGACGGAGAGAAGCTCACCGATCCCAGACTGCTGTTTCCCGTACGTCTCCCCGTACGACACCATGCTGATCACCACGGTCTGGAGGAACGGTCGCAGGGCAGGGGAGAACTGAGGAGGAGCCACATTTTTATTTTACCGCCATGACGAAATATGATTGTGAGGATCCGAGGAGCCGAGGGGGAGGTGAGGAAGCGGTTCTGACCTGAAAGCCCAGACAGCGGCCGTAGAAACAGGCCTTGTGCATGGAGCTGTACTCCTGCACGAACCTGCGGCTCAGCTCGGCGTCCTGCAGGACGTACAGCTGGCCGTGCTCGTTGTCGTGGAGGAGCCGCCGGGCGAGGTAGAGGAGCGCCCGCAGCTGGCAGAGCGCGCTGCAGTACGCCTCCATCTCCGAGGCGTTGTGCTCGGCCCGGAAGAAGGCGCCGCTGTGATTCGAGGCGATGTAGCGACCCTTATGGATGATGTGCAGGAGGCAGGACTGCAGCACCTGGGAACAACACGAGCTCGATGCTAAACGCTGCAAGCAGCCGAACAGGAACCGACAACAGCTAAACAGAAGCTGAAAGCAGCAGGCTGCTTTGTAAAATAAACAAAACAAATGCTTAAGCTACAATTAGCAACAACTGAATTTAGCAAAACGCTAGCTGTACCAATCAGATGGTAAATCCAAAATAAAAAACAGCAGCTAAAATTAGCAAAACATATTATTAGCAAAAATTGTAGCTATAAATATCAAAGCAAATGTTTAAGCTAAAATTAGCAAACCTGTAGCTAAAATGAGCCAGTAGGTAAAAGCTAAAAGTAGCATAAGACGACAAAAACAGAGCAAGTATGTTGTATGCTAGCTAAAAGCTAAAAATTTCAAATGGCTAGCTAAAAGTAAAAAGACAAGCTAAAAGTAGAGAAAGGGCTATCTAAAAGCTACAACTTGTAAAGGATGGACTAAAAGCTAAAAGTAGATAAAGGCAAGTCACAAGAAGCAAAATGTTAGCTAAAAGGTAAAAGTAGCAAAAGGCTAGCTAAAAGCAAAGAATTTCAAATGGCTAGCTAAAAGTAAAAAGATGACTACAAGCTAAAAGCAGAGAAAAGGCTAGCTAAAATCTAAAATGAATAAAGAACTTACTAAAAGCTAAAAGAAGATAAAAGTCAAAAGCAGCAAAAGGCTAGCTAAAAGCTAAAAATTTCCAACAGCTAGCTGAGTAAAAAGATGACTACAAGCTAAAAGTAGAGAAAAGGCTAGCTAAAAGCTAAAACTGGACTGAGTAAATGCTAAAAGTAGATAAAGGCAAGTCAAAAGTAGCAAAAGATAGCTAAAAGGTAAAAGTAGCGAAAGGACAGCTAAATGTTTTTAAGCTAGAAAAAGTATCAAAAAGCTAAAGGTAGCAAAAATTTAACTAAAAGCTAGAAGCATCAAAGACTAACTAGAAGCAAAAAGTTACAAAAGGCTGACTGAAAGCTTAAAGTGGCAAAAGGCTAGCTACAAATAGCAGAATGATAGCACCAGCAGCCGAAGCGTGTTTTTAAAGAACTGATCTTTCTGTGGAGATTTAAAAATAAATAAACTAAGCCGTGGTTGATCCTGTAAATAATAATAATAATAAACTTTATTTCTATATAAATGTTCACTAACCTCTGAACGTAACCATCACCCAAACCTTAAACTCCAACAAACAGTAAATATTTTACTAACAGTAAGATTCAGAGAAGAAGGAACCCGTCGGACCTTGACCAGCGTTCGGTATCCGTTTCCAGGCGTCTGTGCGTCCAAGTCGTAGTGATGGTAGACGGCGGTGAAGCTGGACACCACGGGCTCCAGGGCCCGGCCGTGCTCCTGGATCTTCTTCATGCACGTCACCAGGCGCTGCGTGACCGAGCCGTACGGCGAGTCGGAAGGTCCACACAGAGCAGAGACGTTGTCCTCGCAGACCCTGTCCAAGGCTGCGAACACCACCTTATGATCCATGTCTGGGGCTGGAAGAGACAAAGAACCGCTCAGGAGCCGTGCGACCGAGAGGGACACACGTCCCCGTCTTCTGTAAGACACTCACTGCTGTCCCCGTCTTATCCGTTTGGTCCTGAGGCTGCGAACCAAAGGACAGAACCGCAGTCAGAACCGCTCAGGAGCCGTGTGACTGAGAGGGACAGTCATCAAGGTTAAACATACAGACCCCCCCCCCAGTCTTCTGTGAGACACGCTGCTGTCCTCAGCCTTTCTGGAACTGTTATCTGTCTCAGCCTGAAGGCAGAACTTTGGACCCGGCGCTGACCCCCCTTGGAGAAGAGCTTTATTTAGTCTGAGTATTGGAAACTCCTGGGGGGCAGTTCTCCTCCCAGTCCATCAAATCAGCCTGGAAACACTTTAAAGACACACTTCAAGGCCTGCACCCCCTGCACCCCCTGGACCCCCTGGACCACCGCCTGTCACAAGAGCTTTCACAATAAAAGCATCTTATTTTGAAAAATGACGTGAAGCCGTTTTGGTCGAAGCTGAAAACATCTGCCATCTGTTGGTGCGTTACAAGTCACTCTCATCTACTACCATCAGCTCAGTGCCTGTACACGTGAGGGAGCCACAACCACTGGGCTGATGTCACTCCACTGTGGCGGCCATCTTGAATCTGGTCAAATAGGTTGAACAGCTGGAGCGAACAGCTGGAGTCGTACTCCAACGATTACTTTCTGAGTTTGCCGGGCGGCAGAGCCGACTCCAGTGTTTCCTACGATCTGTGCCGTCTGAAGGATGAGACGGGGATGACTCTCAGCTACTACCACGCCACAGTTTAACTCAGCATCTGTCACACGGATCAATTAGAGCCGCTGTTGTTTCCACTGGTCGCTTGGCTGTGGCGGCCATCTTGAAACTGGTCCAATACAACAGTGGATCAGCTGTAGATGAACAGATGATTATTTTGTGACAGTTTCATTAAAACCCCTGCAGGTTGTGTGTGTTGTAAAAAACAACACAATATTTTTAAATATAAAATAAAGTGAAGAAAGGGACGACAGGTATTTATTTATTCAGAAAGTCGGAAGTTTACTGACACCGGTAAGTTTAGAGTTTAAACTCCTCTCGCCTTTCAGAATAAAACACCGTTTACGTGCACTGATTACCAAAATAAAAGCCCTCGTGCCGCCCACTCCGCTCACGCGCTCACGTGACGTGGGGCTGTCCGAACTCACGGAGTGCTCGGGGACATTTTCAGCCAGAGTCCACGTTCACGGAGTTAAATAACAAAAAGTCCCGAACAGAACGGCGCCGACGAACCGGGGACACGAATTCTCTCACAACACCGACGGTCACCACTTCCGCTGCGCGTGGAGCCGCAGACACGTCGCGAGACGGTTCCACGTCGCGTTAAACACGTTCAGAAACACGACGGAACCGCCACTCCGTGGGGTTTGACCCGCAACTCACCGACACGCATCTTCTTCCGTGATGTCCCGTCGCGCTCTGTCCGCGCGCTCCCGCTGAGCGCTGCGCGTGCCCCTGACGCGCCCGTCGTTAAAAAGCACAAATAACAAATAACGTGAATAAAAACCCACGTCACGACGGTGCTTTTATTTTCTGATCAAGTGAGTGGAAAAGTTTTTCACTTATTAAGTTTAATAAATTAATAAAATGTTTACATTTGATTATTTAATAATAATAAATTATATATAAATTATATATAATAAATAATAAAATGTTTACATTTGATTATTTTATTAAATAAAAACCTTTAAATTCTGACTTTGTCCTTTTTCAGCTGAGCGTAGCTGAAACTGATTTAGTTTAAACAAGCAAAGCTTTAGCTAAAAGACAAAATCTGGGGAAAAACATTAGCTAAAAGCTAAGACCAAAACAGTAGCTGAAGTGTTAAAACAATAGCTAAAGCTTAAACAGTAGCTGAAACCCAACATAAGGAAAATAACTGTAGCTAAAAGCTAAGACTGTCGAAACAGTAGCTATAAAACAAAATTACTAATAAAGTAGCTAAAGCCTAAAGTTGCAAAACAAACAAAAACAACAGCTAAAAGCTAAAACCGAGAAAATGCAATCTATAAAAGCCAAGACTGAGCTAAAATTGTCAAAACACTAGCAAAACTCTAAAAGCAGCTAATGAGTAGCTAAAAGCTTAGGTCTACTGGAGTAGATTTAAAAAGCAAAGTTTTTCAGCGATTTGACGTTTTTAATGTAAAAATGTTAATAAAGTTAAGTATTTCAAAAAGGATCAAAATGAGAGAAGCCGAACGTCAGATGTCACGAATGAGCCGAAGGTTTCACTCTGTGATTGGATGAAGTAGCTGAAATGATTCATGAGCAAATAATTTATGACAGTTTAGTGTCATCGTTCGTTAACTAACCCAAATATAAATATTTTGTTTTTCAAACACTATTTCTATAAAGGGAGTGGTGGCGCAGAGGTTAGAAGACCGCTGGTTCAACTCCCGGTACCGACAACATCAAAAATGTGGGTGGGAAAGGTGAAGCACCCACACCTGCCTCCACCCTCATTTGCTCCACTCTGGGCCCTTGAGCAAGACCCTGAACCCCCACCATCTGCTCCCCCGGTACCCTAGATGCCAGCCCCCCGCTCCACAGAGGCTGTGGTTGAGTCTGGAAGAACATCTGGCATAAAAATAATCTCCAAGTCTTAGTTCGCTGTGGTGACCCCTGAAGAAGGAGCAGCCGAAAGAAGAAAACATTTCTATAAAAGTGTGTAAGTTTTCTAAAATATTAAAAAATGTAAGTTGATCAGTGCAGAGCAGCTGATACAAAAAGAGAATCCACAAAAGTCTTTTATAACTTAATCCAGACTAATAATCTGACACCTGTGCAACAACAGGATTTGAGTCAATCACAGAGGAACCCACTGCTGGGTGACCTTTGACCCCTGCTGGGATCAGCTGTGAAGAAGCGAGGACGGTCCTCGTCATCGGGCGTCTCACGAGTCTGTCAGGCGGTCTGGGTGACCCAGCAGCTCGGTGTTTTCTTGAAGGTCAGGTGTGCTGCTCTGCAGGTGCTGCTCTGCAGGTGCAACACGAGAACATGATGATGCTCATTAGTGTCAGATCAGCGCTCGTAAGGTCGCTGCGAACAACTCGTATTTATTCAACAGCTCCGGGGGACCTGCCAGCAGTTCTCGTCGGCTCGGCCCTCGCTGGCGTCTGGATTCAACTTCCTCTGCAGAACAAGACGTGCAACAAGAACAGCCGAACGCAAAGCAGTGTGGCTGCTGAATGACTGAAATCAGCTAAAAATAACGGAGCCGAAACTGAAATGAGCAGAACAAAACAAAAAGTAGCGACATGTTAGTTCAAAGATAACAGTAAAAGAACAGCAGCTAAAAAGTTGCAATATGCTAATCAAAAGCTGACAGTAACTAAATGAGAGCCGAAAGTTTAAT